ATGAGAAATTCAACACATTATTTTTCAGATTTGGAAAAGTTCCCTGTAGTATTACTTTGAATCTGACAAGTCGTTAATTGCAAAATTGCTTTTCAGGTTTCAAGAGCCATGTTGATACATTTATCAAAACAGGAAAAAAAAATCGTAGTATAGAACAGAGCTAATAATTTGAATAGGGCTAAAAGAGAGCTGAATAAGTTACATTTATAACTGAACTGCAGCCTAACATGGAATTGCTGATCATTTAACTGTGGATGGTACCATGGAAATAAATAATGCAAGATCAGGAGAGAAATAATAAAATCCATATATTTTTCAAAGTTTTTCTTTCTTATTTCAACTTAACATTATACCATTACAGAGGAGAGGCGGATATGGATTTTTACTAGCTTGAAAGTAGCTTAGGTTCTGCTTTTGCAAAAAGCTGCTAATACACCAATTCCCACAGTGACAGTGTTTGATGGTTTCAAGCCAAGATCTTGTATTTTGTTCTGTCTGGCTCTGTTGACCTCCCATTTTATATTGATTATTTTGTTGGTTAACTGCTGTGTTGGTTTATTTAGTCGGTACTTCCCACATATTTTCTTTTCACTCTTGTAAAAAAAAAAAAGATGAAATTGTTGGTTCTGAATCATCACAAAAATGAGAGAGAGAGAGAGAGAGAGACTCTTTAGGCATATAGTCATTTTGACTGATCTTAGAACTTTAGGGTAGACAACTTCCCCACTCTACAAAGCAGAATAACTATTTTTTCCCCCGTGATGTGGCCAACCTACCTGAATGGCGTCCCACTGGAGATCTGCTTGTCTCCAACATTACTGGCCTTCTGGAAGAAATTGAAAACAGAGCTCTTCTGGAGGGCTTTGGGGATCTGATGCCCTGTATGGTTTTGAGATGGTTTAATGCCTTGTAAGATTTTTTTTAATTACTATTATTGTGTTTTGCTTACTACTGCGTGTCACTGAGACTCTGCTTTGATTGCAGCAGTATATAAATGTAATTAATAAAGTCAATCAATAAACAAGCATACAAACCTTTAATTAAATTCACAACATAGTCAGTCGCCTTTCCTTTCTTGACTTACTCCTGAGTAGTAGAGGCTGATCCAAATAAGTAGGTAGAATTGTCCAGGTACTCTTACCTAGAGCACATGCATATTCTCTAACATTTTTTCTTCCATCTAAAACAGAGTTAGGTGAGAGCCCCTGTGAGCCCCTATGCAACCAACAAAGCCTCCTTTTGCATCTGCTGGTAGTTGTTGCCACTAAATTTATATACCCTTTTAACACAGACATGTAGGGGAGGGAAAGAAAGGGCAAGTGGCAAAGCACACCTTATAGTGCAAAAAAATGTGATTAACGCATTTGCATCAGACATCAGCCTGTATGCATGTAAGGGTGGAATTTGCATCATTATGTTATCTTACAGGTCGTCATTTTGACATAATCTCAGTTTGCTACAGCCGTATATGAATCTGGCATCCTGCAAAGCAAATTTGCATCATTTGGGGTATATGTGTTATTTTCTGCAAAGCTTCTGGGGCCCATTTAGGCCCCATAAGCAATCTTGGGGGGGAGGGGGAGGCAGATGACTGAAAGCCAGTTCTTCTTTGCCTGGGTTGGGGGAGAACCAGGAACCAGGTCATCTGGAACAGTGTTTCTCAGCCTTGGCAACTTGAAGATGTGTGGACTTCAACTCCCAGAATTCCC